AAACAACCCACAACACCCCCCCCCCCCCCCCCCCGCACACACACACACACTCCACACTTCACTCAGTTACCAAAGGTAGCAGCTATGAATCAAATACATATATGGAGAAGATTTGATGAATGAGGACCATATTTACATTGCCATTTTCACAGTAGAAAGTTTTTGTACTGTAAGTTTTTGTAATTCAATTTCCCCTCCCCTCCAGCCAGCCATTATTCTTCAAACTTGTAAAGGACAAATTCCAATGTGTACTACATACAACAGCCTGACTCATTGAGATATCTGTATTCCTATAGATGCTAACACTGACAGTCAAATAAAAGTTTCCACAAGCCTATGGCTCATTGGGGTGACTGGCTAAGGCTGGTCAGTTCCATAGTCAACAGTACACAAGAGAATGATGTGGCCAGTATCTCATCCAAATGCCTCTTACAGCCCCAACACAATTGGCTCAGGTACCAATGTTGCAATGGGATGACCTGTAAGTTGCCTTGCAGCATGAGGTTCAAGTCTTCCTTGATCTATATACCTTTAGGGCTGCAGCTGAGGACGTAACCAACTCCAACACATTGCTATCTCCTTATCTCTGTCTTACCCAGAGACCAAATAACAGAAGGAAGAGTAGAATCTTTTATGAACAAATGTAGTGTCATTTTATATTTTTTCTTAATGCGTAGGTAACACAGCAATGGGTATTTACGTAATGTGCATTCTGTACTGAAATTTGCACAGGGATAATATTTTGTTTGCTCAAGCACTTTTTTCCTTCTTTAAATCTCCACCTCTGTGGTGAGACCAAGCATGGAAAATTCCAGCCCCAAAAGAATTTTTCAGAATACGTGCAGTACTTTTGAAATTCTTTGCATGCAGGTCCTTTGCTCTGCACCAGAGTATGCAGATATTTCTCAACATCTGAATATCTATTGCATTATTTCTTCTGTAAATTCGATTAAATCCATCTATTTATAAAACTAATTCTAGATGTTGATCAATTTCAGGGACTGATTTCTTCAGATCTTTACTCTGTGTATGAACACGGTTTTAATATTATTAAAAGCATATATATGCCTATAAAACAAGGAAATCAAGTCAAAATAGGTTCACGACTGTCAAATGGAAGGGGGGGGTGTCTGTTCCAATAATCATCTAGCCAAAAAAAAAGTATTTTGATTGCCAATTACATAAAACTTTTTATCCAGAAGGCTGTCATATAAAATGTATTAATTCTAAGTTTAAATTAATTCACAGCTAAGATTATAAATGGAACAATCACAGAGGTTGAAAACAACTTTTACCTAGTTTACAGAACCAAGGATTGGGATATGATGTTAAAACACACACAAAAGTCCTAGTATGTGCTAATGCACGAGTTGCAATGATCTGTTTGTACTGTTCTCTCCTCAACCCCTGGACTTAGCTAATTCCCCAAAATTAAAGAAAATTTCACATCATCAATCCTCAGCAAGAACTCCTATAAGATTTGCCATGCAGCACATAACGCACAATAAAAAAGAAAAAGGAGTGGAGATTGCAAAGAAATAAAACAAAACAAAAATTAAAATAAAAAGAACTGTTTTGAGATAATATCTTGAAAGCATAAAGGCCTCTGGGCACCTTAAAATAAACTAAAAATAATGAGATTTAAAAGAAAACAAAGTGTGTTGAATTGCAGGACAGAAACCAAATATGAAAAAACCCCAAACAAAAACACACGATACGTTTTAGAAGTAAAGTGTAACTAGGGCTGCGGGCCACAGTACTGAAGCAAGAGTGGCAAGAAAGGCACTTTAATAATGAAGATGGTAGAACAGCTTGAGTGGGAATATGATCAACAGGAGAGTCCGGAGGGACAATTTTCTACACCATGGGGCTGGAGGAGCGGGGAGAGAGAGAAGAGCAAGGGAGCTAGAGAACGGAATACAAGGCGGGCAACTTCCTACACTACGGGGAGCCGAATAAGCGGGGCAAGAAAACGGGGCGAGCTTGTCAAGTGGAGGAAGGGAAGAAGAGGGGCAGGGAGGAAGGATACTCTCCTAACACCTCATTTGCAGTGGGACTCGCACCAGAGGCCTCCGCAGAGGGGCAGGGGTCCCCCCTCGCCGCACTCCTGGGAACTTGTAGCAGGGCGGCCCGTGGGCGCTCCTCCCACCGCGAGCGCTGAGCCGCCGCCGGAGGGGGGCCCGGGGG